GGCTCAACCTTTGGTTGGCTTTTATTAACTTTAAATGTGATATTATATATGTATTATCTACTTTAGAGCTAACTACATATTTATAAACAGTATTAGTATGTATGTTTTTAAAATGTATGCAAAGATTTCTCCCGATTTGGATCTCCTGTAAGGACTCCATGATCTGTTGCCTCCCATATAGGGAACTAACTTGTTGGGACTGAGTTAGTAACTATATTCCTTATAGTTGTTATCAAGGAAAGGTAACTAAAAAAAAAAAAAACACCAAAGAGCTGTCGAGCGATGCCATAAATTTTCTTTACTACCGACCATCCACTGGAGCTTCCATCATGAAACTATCAATATCTACAAATTATCTGCTGAGGTACTGTGTACTAATCTTTGAAAGGGAGAGAGAGTGTGGTTGTCTTGTTTGGAAGGGGAAGGGGAATAGTTTCAGAACTCCATGCTCTGCCTAGGGGATTACTCATTCAAAGAATCTGGTAGGACCTATGGCTAGAAGGATACCTTGAAACCTTTGAAAAGGTTGTTGACTTGATCCTAAAGATAATACCAGCTTCAAGCATACGCTACTTATTTAAGAAGGTGCAAATCTTCCAAAGTCAGTTTAAGTTTTTAGGGGTCTATCAATCTGGCAAAAGTTTCCATTCGAGTATTCTCACTAGGAGTAAGATTGGTGGGTATCACTAGTGACCTTGGGAGTCCATGCTTGAGGGGGAGTTGTATTGGAGTTCGTGATGTGATTCTTCAGTTTGTGGTTTTCCCACAAACCATGAATCAGAACTAAAAAACCCATCGGCCAAGGAAAAAATTCCTGTTTATCTTGTTTGTTTTTATTTTAAAAAGAAAGCAGATCTTCACCTATCTGCCTGAGCTATGAGAACCTACTTGGCTACCAAGAGTAGGTGACTCCAATGCCAAAAATGATTGAAGTGTCTTGTAACCTTTACCATGGTTGGATGGACTCTTTCATTAGAATTTCTGCTGATATAAGAGAAAGCATGTCCTATATCCACCCGCACCTAGATATATGACTTATGGTGGACCCCAGGTTCTTACAGAACTGGGGAAATGCATTTAGACATATGAAATGGCCAATAAGAGCTTGTTTATCAATCTTGTTCAACGTGTTTCGTGTCAGCCAATCAGAATTGGTGAGATCCATGCTATCCAAAATTTCAGGGTCAAGCTGAGGTAGGCAAAATTCCCTAGAAAGCCATGAAAAAAATAGCTCTAAGAGGCTATATGCCAATTAACGGGAAGAAGAGTCAGTCCTTTGACTGGAACAGCACCTCTGTTATCTCCACCATGATTGAGAGGTGAAAGGTATTTCAGCGTTGGTCCTTCTTCCTTTAGGAACTTTCTTGCTATAGGTAGTAAAGGTAGGAGCTGAACTTTGCAGGCCACAAGGAGTCCAGTTTGTTCGAAGAAGATTGTAACCAAGAGATGAAGGAGGTAAGGAGTGTTCTGAAGAAGCTCTTCAGTTGGTTGAAAGAGAGTAATAAGACTTTATTAACATAGAAGTATTAAAAACTTCTTGCGAACATCTTTTTTATGTGTGGTCAGAGGATCAACGGAAAGAGTTGATAATGTTACATTGATAAAATACCATTAGATAATTATTTTTTATTATAATTTTCTTTTATTTCTATTTTTATCTATTTATTTATAATTATTTCTTTGATACTCTTATTGATATTTAATTAGAAAGAATTATTTTATTAAATATAGCATATGACATAATTTAATATAAATCAAGAAATTCAAGAGACCTAAAAAATTCAAGCGATTTATTTTATAAATATATAATTATATAAGCAATAATTTTATTCAAAGTAAGATAAGTTTGTAAAAATAACTTTGCTTGACTTTTGAAAAATAGAATATATCTTTTTGACATTAGGACCAAAGAAATTGTTCTCATTTTCTTGATTTACTAATAAACTGAGATTATAAGCAAACCATATTTCTTGTAAAACACTATGTGATATTACTTAAAGATTTTATTCTTGAATATTTTTTTATTAAAATAAATTACTTTTTGTATATTTTCTTTGGAAGTAATCTTTTTAAAAGTAATTTCACTTGGACACACTGATCAAATTTTGATCACAATATATTTCTTATGAATAAAAAAATATTATTACACATTTAATTTTAAAAATAAAAACCAGATTAATATTCGAATAATAAATAAACTAAAAATTATTATAATAAGAAGAGATTTAGATTATTATTGATACAATAGAAATAAAAGCAAACTAAATTTCACAATAAAAATAAATTCGGTCATAATTTATCCTATAATAACATTCTTGTAAGAAAGATCCAACTTATTCTGCAGATATTGTCCTGCCGTCAATGACTTTTCCCCATTACCTAATTTTTCGTTCCCATCATTGGGCACAAACTTCGATGGAATCGGATCCAAACCCACATCTCGACCAGCATGAAAAAAATATGCAATACTATATCTGTCAAGATTCAAATTATCTTCACCAAATACTACTCGATGTTTAATTGATTTGTATAAACCTCGTGTCCAGAATTCTAAACAATCCCCTATATTAATTAACACGCAATCTGGAATTACAGGCGCTGAGATCCATTCGGTAGAATTTGGTGGTAGTACTTCAAGACCTCCGACGTCTTTTTGGAAAAGTACAGTGAGAGATCCGTAATCAGAGTGACTACACGTAGAAAAATCTGTGATAGGCAATTTAATATGTAGCTAAAAAGATTTTCTATAATAATCCCTTTACTTACACTCCAGCCCGAATATCCTTCTCAGCAACTTTTTCTACCGCGGGATAATGGATAACTCGCAAACAATCCCCTGACTTCAATCCGTAATCATGTCTTTTTTCGAACCAATGTTTCCCTCCCTCCGATTCAGTAACCTCCAATGCAATAGCGAATAATTCTAATAATTTCAAACATAACTTGTGACAACCCTATTTATTATAAAATAATCAGTACAAGATAAAATAATAATACGTTTTTCATTGTTGCTATTTAAAATACCTTCGAAATTCTCGAAATCAACACTTTTCTTTCCTTAAATACCGGAGGTAACTTCAGAGTCAATGGATTATCCTGTTCATCAAACTTACAAAAATTAAAAGATTCCTTTGCGTCACCAACTATTTGATTTTGGGGATCGAGTTTTTCTTGGCGCATGTTTATATAACCGTAATAATGTTCGTTGATATTGTACTTCAGTTTTTCTTCGTTTGATTGGTCAAAAAATTGTTTGACCTAATAAGTTTAAAGAATTCTTTATTCAGGGGTTCTTATATTTCTACGAAAAACATAACAAAATGAAACGTGAATCCATCTCGGACTGTTATAATTATTCTCTTTTAGATAAACAATGGCTCGGAATTGTAAAAATTTTCCACGAAGTCGGCCACACTTTTGAAGATCCATTAAGAATACTTACGCAACAAAAAATTTCATCAATAGATTCTTGGGTGAACCCATGATTTCTCAAATAGAAAAATCCAACATTTTCACAGGCCGTCTTAATTTGTTCGATACATTCTCGTTGATTTGTGTCGCATAGGGAAAAATCGATTATTGGAATTCTTGGACCAACTGTAAAGTCGGTCATTTTTGAACTACGATTTTTTTTTCACGCAGATCAGCATGTTGCCGCCATTAGCATTTTGAAAACTGATAAATCATAGATTTGTGAATAATCTAAAAATTGTATTAAATTTTCATATACTGTACATATATATATACATATATATACATTTTTTTTTTTTTTTTTTTAACCTGCCGTCAGGCTGACATGGCTTCTATGAATATTTTTTGAAAATAATCCGATTTATGTAGTAGAATAAAGAAAGCATTGGGTCTCAAAGAACCATAACTTGTTCCAGTTACACCACTCGCCGATTTTGGAATAACCAGGAAATACACTACCCTTCGGCAATAAGCATATATATAAATCGATATATTACAGCAAGTCTAGATCTAAATTTAAATAAAGTTCCACCTAATTGTAGAATACTCTTCTAATACCATGTTCAAAAAGAAACACACGTGACATGTTGAATGTGATTTTTAAAAGAAATAAATACAGTTTGTGATCATATAATGCCATGTAACCCATTATTAACCTCGTAGAATATTCACATAATCAATATTTTCGAGGTTCATTAAAAGAAGAACTTAAGAGACAAACTCTTCATTCCCTTCGTAAATTGTCTAGTCTCGCTTGCAAAGCAGCGTCGTTATTCGAATCCATTTCTGCGGTTTGTGGAACTTTTTCTTTGACAGACGTTCTTTCGATCAAATTTGGTGTATCAACCAACTAAATTAAATACAAATTAGTTGTTATTCCACATAAAGCGAAATCCCAGTGTGAATAAATATAAATCATACCGATTGATCCAATGTGATGCCAATCTCATCCAAGACTTGATTCACGATAGCTTCGCTTTCTTCATTGTCCTCTTCCTCATCCATGATATCATCGATAACATCATTCATCATTTCTTCTTTCATATCCATAATTTCAGATTCTTTTTCGAATTCCATCATGATTTTCTCCATGGCTGGTAAGTTCATCTGTCTATTCATGGATTTCATGGCCTAAATAATAACCATCTCAAAAATATATACAAATTTAAATTAAAATACTTGAATGTTTAGATTTAATTACCTTAGTCGCACCTTTCATTGCTTCTGACATTGCTTGATTAGACCGAAGTGTCTGAAAATCAAATTTTTTTTATAAACAGGAAAGCAAAATGTTTAATCGACTAATCCAAAATCTTGATACCTGAATTTGCAGATTAACAGCCTGAAGTTGGGTTTTCATTGCTTGGAATTTTTGAATATAGCGTCGAGTTCTGACAAGGTCTTTGGCCATAATTTTGCATGCAGCCTATAATATTTAAACAACGATTCCGCAAATATTATTAGAAACGCCTTTTCTTAAGGCGGGCATAATGACAAATATTTGATCAAAAAAAATTAAAGCCGGAAGTAATATTATAAGATAACTGTTATAACCGAAGCACGTGAATTAAGATAAATACCATTTGATTTGCTTTTGCTGACTTTTTGATATCTGCTATTAGCTTTTTCTCGGAAATTTCTAATTTCGAACGTTCGCGTTCCATTTCACGTTGTGCCTTTTGAATTGTACGCTGATGTATCCGTAATAGCTCAGCCGGAGTTTTTTTACGACCAAACAACATTTCCTATTGAGAAAAACAAAGTCAGAATCTTCTTTAAGAATATATTTGACGAGCTTCTTGCATAAAAAATGGCTACCATCATCTTGGCAAATAGTTCAGTTGTTAAAGAATAATACAAGTCTTGGTATGAAGCATTGGGTATACTATTTATACCAATTCTAGTGACACGGGCGCATGATTGGATTATCGATTATCTAAGTCAGGAATAGAAAAAACCCTTCAGTTGATATTAAAAACTATGCCATCCTCTTGCAAAGAAATTCGCCAAGAACTTGCAGATTGCTTACTCAAATCTGACTGCGTACTCGTGAAACGCCACACTGTCAAAGGTGGGGTGAAATAAATTCGTTGGAACTTTCTTGAAAGATTGTGGTTTATCCGGTTGTTTTCACTATTTATTACTTAATAAAATATTACACGAATCGAGGCCATTTGGTATATTGTTATTAACCACCATGTGACCGTATGTTTTTACGAAAAATCAGAATGCTTACAATCAGAGAATGCGGCTGATGTGCCTAGAGAATGCCATAGCATTCGTAGGAGTTTTTTCGAGTGTCGGAGAGGATTGGTACGTTCAGCTTTGAATCTAAAATCTCTTGGCAGCGCTTGGTATATTAATATTGTGCAATTCTGGTTTTAGCTTGATATGCGAAAACGATTTCGGGGTAACCAGTAGTTGAGATGCATCTATCGGTATTCGTGTTATAAAGACATTTTGCATAACAGCATAGTAAATTTGCTAATAATCATATTAACTATCATTAAAGAAACTCGGATCCATAAATCAAAATTTTCAAATATATATATTTACAATAGTTGTAAAAATTTTTTTATAATTTAATATAAAATTTCAAGTATTTTATTTAAAAATATATATATATTTTATTACTTCTTTAATTTATAAAATATACTGTATATACAGCATGGAACAGTTGCTTTTTAATTATATAATGGACTATAATTTAATAAATATTATTTTAAAAATCAATTTAATCATCAATAGTTTTTATAAAATTAAATAAAAAAATATTATATATATAAATTTATAAATTATATAAAAAATAAAATAATATAGA